GTGTACTAAGTTAGGGTGCAGTTCCTTTTTTTTTTTTTTTTTCCTCTAGCTTCAGTTTTTTTATTTTTTTTTTTTTCATTTTTCTTTTATTATTCATATGTGCATACAAGGCTTGGTTCATTTCTCCCCCCTGCTCCCACCCCCTCCCTTACCACCCACTCTGCCCCCTCCCTCTCCCCCCCCTCAATACCCAGCAGAAACTATTTTGCCCTTATTTCTAATTTTGTTGTAGAGAGAGTATAAGCAATAATAGGAAGGAACAAGGGTTTTTGCTGGTTGAGATAAGGATAGCTATACAGGGAGTTGACTCACATTGATTTCCTGTGCGTGGGTGTTACCTTCTAGGTTAATTCTTTTTGATCTAACCTTTTCTCTAGTTCCTGGTCCCCTTCTCCTATTGGCCTCAGTTGCTTTAAGGTATCTGCTTTAGTTTCTCTGCGTTAAGGGCAACAAATGCTAGCTAGTTTTTTAGGTGTCTTACCTATCCTCACCCCTCCCTTGTGTGCTCTCGCTTTTATCATGTGCTCATAGTCCAATCCCCTTGTTGTGTTTGCCCTTGATCTAATGTCCACATATGAGGGAGAACATACGATTTTTGGTCTTTTGGGCCAGGCTAACCTCACTCAGAATGATGTTCTCCAATTCCATCCATTTACCAGCGAATGATAACATTTCGTTCTTCTTCATGGCTGCATAAAATTCCATTGTGTATAGATACCACATTTTCTTAATCCATTCGTCAGTGTGGGGCATCTTGGCTGTTTCCATAACTTGGCTATTGTGAATAGTGCCGCAATAAACATGGGTGTGCAGGTGCCTCTGGAGTAACAGTCTTTTGGGTATATCCCCAAGAGTGGTATTGCTGGATCAAATGGTAGATCGATGTCCAGCTTTTTAAGTAGCCTCCAAATTTTTTTCCAGAGTGGTTGTACTAGTCTACATTCCCACCAACAGTGTAAGAGGGTTCCTTTTTCCCCGCATCCTCGCCAACACCTGTTGTTGGTGGTGTTGCTGATGATGGCTATTCTAACAGGGGTGAGGTGGAATCTTAGTGTGGTTTTAATTTGCATTTCCTTTATTGCTAGAGATGGTGAGCATTTTTTCATGTGTTTTCTGGCCATTTGAATTTCTTCTTTTGAGAAAGTTCTGTTTAGTTCACTTGCCCATTTCTTTATTGGTTCATTAGTTTTGGGAGAATTTAGTTTTTTAAGTTCCCTGTATATTCTGGTTATCAGTCCTTTGTCTGATGTATAGTTGGCAAATATTTTCTCCCACTCTGTGGGTGTTCTCTTCAGTTTAGAGACCATTTCTTTTGATGAACAGAAGCTTTTTAGTTTTATGAGGTCCCATTTATCTATGCTATCTCTTAGTTGCTGTGCTGCTGGGGTTTCATTGAGAAAGTTCTTACCTATACCTACTAACTCCAGAGTATTTCCTACTCTTTCTTGTATCAACTTAAGAGTTTGGGGTCTGATATTAAGATCCTTGATCCATTTTGAGTTAATCTTGGTATAGGGTGATATACATGGATCTAGTTTCAGTTTTTTGCAGACTGCTAACCAGTTTTCCCAGCAGTTTTTGTTGAAGAGGCTGCTATTTCTCCATCGTATATTTTTAGCTCCTTTGTCAAAGATAAGTTGCTTATAGTTGTGTGGCTTCATATCTGGTCCTCTATTCTGTTCCACTGGTCTTCATGTCTGTTTTTGTGCCAGTACCATGCTGTTTTTATTGTTATTGCTTTGTAATATAGTTTGAAGTCAGGTATTGTGATACCTCCTGCATTGTTCTTTTGACTGAGTATTGCCTTGGCTATTCGTGGCCTCTTGTGTTTCCATATAAATTTACAGTAGATTTTTCAATCTCTTTAATGAATGTCATTGGAATTTTGATGGGAATTGCATTAAACATGTAGATTACTTTTGGGAGTATGACATTTTTACTATGTTGATTCTACCAATCCATGAGCATGGGAGATCTCTCCACTTTCTATAGTCTTCCTCAATCTCTTTCTTCAGAAGTTATAGTTTTCCTTGTAGAGGTCTTTCACATCTTTTGTTAGGTTTACACCTAGGTATTTGATTTTGTTTGAGGCTATTGTGAATGGAATTGTTTTCATACATTCTTTTTCAGTTTGCTCATTGTTAGTGTATAGAAATGCTAATGATTTTTCTATGTTGATTTTATATCCTGCTACCTTGTTATAGCTATTGATGATGTCTAGAAGCTTCTGAGTAGAGTTTTTTGGGTCTTTAAGGTATAGGATCATGTCATCTGCAAATAGGGATATTTTGACAGTTTCTTTACCTATTTGTATTCCTTTTATTCCTTCTTCTTGCCTAATTGCTCTGGCTAGGAATTCCAGTACTATGTTGAATAGGAGTGGAGATAGTGGGCATCCTTGTCTGATTCCTGATTTTAGAGGGAATGGCTCTGGTTTTTCTCTGTTAAGTATAATGCTGGCTGTAGGTTTGTCATATATAGCTTTTATAATGTTGAGGTACTTTCCTTCTATTCCTAGTTTTCTTAGAGCTTTTATCATGAAATGATGTTGGAGCTTATCAAAGGCTTTTTCTGCATCTATTGAGATGATCAAGTGGTTTTTGTCTTTGCTGGGTGCAGTTCCTTAAGTAAGAACTCGAGCACAAAGTCCTCCTCAGGCCAAATTTAGTTTAATGTATGACAACAATAAAAGGCAGTAATGGCAGAGATTGAGCTAGTATGTGTGAATGTGGAGGAATTCTTTACTCAGGCAATCAAGAAAGAACTCTGATGAAGAAAAGTGGCCCTGGGAAGGATCCTCATTCAAAGCAGGAAATAGCAAAGGTCCTGGGGCAGGTCTGAGAAAACCTATATAACAAGAACAGTAGGCAAGTGAGCATGGAAGGTGGGCAGGTGAGCAAAAGGAGGTCTCAGGTAGGGACAGCCACCCGCCCACAGAGGCCCTTGCAGAACATGGCTGGTGTTTCAAGAACAATGAAGGAGCCTCGAGAAGGCAGGAACATTCCATGCCCAGAAAAATATTTACTGTAGGGGCTGGTGGAGTGGCTCAAGCATCAAGACCACCTGCCTAGCAAGTGCAAGGCCCTGAGTTCAAACCCCAGTACTGAAAAACAAAAAGCTTTACTGTACATTTTAAGAAGACAACTCTGCTCTATTAAGAATGGAGTGAGAGAGGAAGCAGGAAAACATGTAGGGAACCATGACAGAGGCACAGACAAAAGAAGAGGGTGAATGTGGTGGTTCAGAGAAGCAAACAGTCTGATTTGGTGCTGCAGCAGAGCCGGCAGGACCTCGGGGAGACCAGCTCCAAGTGGCAGGAAAGAGGAAGCAGCAGTGGTGCTGCTGGGCAGCCGGGCAGGCTGGCAGGAGAAATCAGGAGAGTTACTGTGGCACACTGCAAGTAAGACAAGTTGCAAGCTGGGTGCCAGTGGCTCACACCTGTAATCCCTGTTACTTGGGAAGCTGAGATCTGTAGGATTGTGGCTTGAGGCCAACCCGGGACAAGTACTTCTCAAGACCCCCATCTTCAAAATAACCAGAGTAAAATGGACTGCAGGTGTGGTTCAAGCCTAGAGCACCTGCTTGGCAAGCATGAAGCCCTGAGTTCAAACCCCAGTTCGACCAAAGAGGCATCTGAATACAGGAGTACGGTGCTCAGGGGAGAGAAAAGAGGCAAGAGCGCTGGGAGGCAGATGGATCTGTGCATTTTCCCTGTTTCTGCTTTACTGGCTGATGAAACACAACAGAGTGTAGAAACAGATGCAACCATGTTTTTCTTAATTTTTGGCCACCTGGTGGTGCATGCTTGTAATCCCAGCACTGAGGAGGCAGAGGCAGGACAATCAAGAGTTCAAGGCCAGCTACCAACAAACAAATCTACACAAGGAAGTGGAATTGTACCTCCACTCTGAGTTTGTTATGAGGATTATATGACTCGAAACACATCAAGATGTTTAGAAAAACATCTGGCACGCATTTAGTTTTTATTATATATTGTTTTTATTTAAATTCAAATGAAAAAAGACTAGTGTAACCCATAAGTGGTCTTTGCATAGTTTGCTTTCCATCTTGGAAAAAAGAAAATGACAGATGCTCTACCTTATGCTTAAGTAAAAATGTAGCAGGGAGGAGGATCAGAAGAGAAACAGGCCTGCGTTCTGATGAAGTAGCAGGAAGGAATGGCATAGCAGAGAGTTAAAACCTAAAGAATCCAAATGTAAAGAAGGTCATATGACACTGGGGTGAAGTAGCCATAGAGTCACATACAACCATAGGTGGGTGAAACCTTGCTTCTTGCTTCTGTAACCTGCTTGCAAGGGTATGAAAGGTGAGACCGCTGTGTTCTCGGGCTCAGCCTTTGGATGTGAATCCGCTGACCCGGCAGGCTAATAAATACTGCTTTCCTGAAAAGCCTTGGTGTCCCGTGTCTCTGTTCGAGTTTCCCGCAACGAAAAATACATTTGATATCGATTAAAGGTGTGAATGAAAGAAATCAAACTAGAAAAATACGAGGAAAAAAATTAGAACAATAACTGACTAACCCAGCCTAAACCAGGCCTTTTAAAGCTACCCAGAAAACCTTGACGCGGTAAGAAAGCCACAGCAGAGCTGTCAGGGAGGACACCCGAGAGGCAGCGGGGCCGCTGAGCCTGGACTGAGAACCTCGCTGGGAGCCGGGCCTGGTGAGACACGTCTATAATCCTAGTAGGCCAAGGCAGAAGGATCGGGAGTTTGAGGTCAGTCCGGGTTACAAAACAAAACTCTGTCAAAAACGTAGGAATGGAGGAAGGAAGGGAAAGACTTCACTGGGGGTTTAAGGAAAAGACTTCACGACAGAGAGGGCGCCTTGTCTCACCGCTGGCCACGCCTGCGCACCAGGCGCGACGCGAACGACTCCGGAACCTTTTAGCTGAGGGTGCCTGTTTCTGGACGGAAAAGGGGTCCTAAGGCGCCGCTAGGAAGCCAACTTCCGGCGTCTCGTTTCTACCGGGTTTCGGCGGCCATGAGGCAGAAACACTACCTGGAGGCTGCGGCGTGGAGTCTACGCGAGAGCTGCCCGGGCCAGGCCCGCTATCTCCTGTAAGAGGGGGCGGCAGGGAAGCGGGGTGAACGGAGAGGCGTTTCTTGGCTGTTCACGACTCTCTCTCTCTCTCTTACAGCTGGACGTACGGCTCGTTACACGGTAGGGAAGCCCCTGCTTTTCGGCACCGTCCCTCACCGATCTCCACCGCACAGCCTCGGAATGATTGCATAAAAAATCCCAAAGGCTTCTAGGTTTCATGAAAAATTCAGATGCTTGACCTTGCATGTGACATTTATCAATCTTCTCGAAATGGTTTCCAATTGGCTGCCAGGCCATCGTATCGTACCTCTTTAAGCCGGTGCTTGTGGATGGACTTAGTGGTTTTTCTAATCCCCTAACCTCTGTAAATATTGCAGGTCCCGGGCAGGACTTAGCCCCTTGGACCTTTTTCCATCCAATCTCCTGGCATTTAAATACTGCATACGATGGCCTTCCAAATTCCGGCCTAGACCTCGCCTCCACATTCCACTCACATGTTCAGACGCCTTCTTGGCAGCTTCTTTTGAATGACTAGTAGGCATTCCAAACTTGTGTCCAAAACCTGAGCGCCACTCCCAACAAGCTCCTTCAGTTCTCCTCATTTCAGTAAATGGTAACCCTAAACAGTTATTCAGTCCCCAAACCTTGGGTCCATTCTTGTCTCCCTAACAACTCCTCGCCCATCCCGGCCCAAGCCAGTGTGCAGAAAGATCTTGTTGGCTTTAAAGGATTTCCAAAATCTTAGCCATTTCTCACTACATCCACTGCGTCCAGCCTGGTCCAAGTCATCTCCTGGGTTACTGCCAGCAGGTCCCAGGCATTCCCGTAGTCTGATAAAAGCCAGCACAGTATTTCTGATTAAAACAAAAGCTAGATCATCATGTTCCTTTTCTGCTGTAAATGGCTTCCCACTTCATGGTAAAAGTGAAAGTCCTAGAAAAGGATTATGCAGCCCTACAGGATAGGACCACATAATGTCTTGGACCTGTTTTCATTTGTTCATTCTATTCTAGCCCCAATAGGCCTCTTGTTCTGTTTCAAGGCATTCATGGTTGCCCTGCCTTCTGCCTGGAAATCTTACCTTGTATACTTGATTCCTCCCTGCAAATGTCACCTGAAGTAGCCTTCCCTAGCTACCTACTGAAAACTATGGTAGCTCCATCAACTTATCTTGTTTCATTCCAGAACTTAACTCATGAGCTGTCCTTTGTTCACTGTATCTCCAACACCCAGAACAGTGTCAGACACTTAGCAGTCACTCAGTAAATCTGAATGAATTTTACATTTGGCAGAGACAAGTTGCAAATATGTCTTAGGCTCTTTTGTAGTGCTGTTGTATCTCTAGAACTTAGCACAGTGCCAACAGTAGGTACTAAATAAATTTTGGTTGTGCTAATAGTTAAAAAATAAACAAAATCCCAGTGCAATGTGTAGACTGGTGAAACAATAGCCTGTTTTTTACTTAGTAGCAAGTAATGAGCCAGGGAGCAGAGGTTGGAGAACTGCCTATCTATTGCTGAAAGGAATAAATGGATGGAATTAGAGGATTTTACAAAATAAGTTATCAGTTTATGTTTTAGTAAATTTTCATACTTTTAAGTTTGCCTAAAGAGAATGTGTACCTACTCATATTAAGTACCAATATACTTTTCTTTTTCATATTGATGTCAGCTGTTTGAGATAACAAAATATTCTGATTTACTGAATTGTGTTTCATTTGTATAATTTTAGGTGATAATAGTACTTTTGAAAGAACATGCCCATACTGTTTCCAGTTGTTAGTTCTGGATAACTCTCGAGTACGTCTCAAACCCAAGGCTAAACTGACACCCAAAATACAGAAACTTCTTCATCGAAAAGCAAGAAATTATACACTCAGTTTTAAAGAAGCAAAAATTGTGAAAAAGTACAAAGATTCCAAAAGTGTACTGGTAAGATTTTCTTTCACTTAAACAGCCTGACTATAAGCTCAGATTTATAGTAGTATATTTGAATTGTCAAAATTTATACCAAGCAACTCTGTCTAGTGATTGGTGCTTCATCAAGAGTACAGCTCGTTCTTATTTTCATAATTATCTAAAACATTGTGAGCTCTTCATTGTCACCAGATCACATTATTGAGAACAGTTATTTTCACAAATTTGAGGATTTCTTGAGCTAAACAAGATAAGTCTACCTGAATTTCAGTTATCACTAAATTATTTTTAAGTTAATGGTGGTCTTTTCTTCACAGGTGTACCTTATGTACATAGGTACGGTGTTGCTTCTTTACTCATTTCTCCCCATGTCAGTATGTAGTTACTTGTATGTGCAATATAGAGAGTGCATCTTAGGTTCATTCATTAAACATTTTTTGAGGGTCTATTGTGTGCCACACAGTGCTTCTATTGGGGATGTAAAATGGAATAATAAATGATTTACTAGATGGAGGCCACTATCAGATATATTTTATATTCTACATACTCTATATTAACTTGTATCAGCTATTCAAATACCTGCTTTGGGCAGGCAGTGTGATGGGTACTAGACATTATGACAGCTTAGGTCTGGCCTAAGAAAATAATTAGTAATAACTTAGATTGAAAATTGCCATATTTAGGAGTTTACATATTGGAAAGGTAAGTGCATTTTGTTTCTTGATTTTGTTTTTGGTTTTTGGTGGTACTTGGGTTTGAACTCAGGACCTCATACTTCGTAGGCAGGTGTTTTGTTTTGTCTTAAAATTGAATGTTGGAAAGGTAAAAGATAAAATACTAAAGTAAGCAGATTTTTGTTTTGTTTTTTGAAAGCCAGGGTCTCATTACGTAGCCTCAAACTCATGATCCTTCTGCTTCACCCTCTGGGTTGCTGGGATTACAGGTGTGTATCACCACACCCTGCATAAAATTCACTTTTACTCCTTCGAGAATTGTATTTTTCAAAAAGCATTACTGCCACATATTTGGAAAATGTTCCAAAATGAAGATGATAAATGCTTCCTCGCTGTCTTTCAATGCTTTGCCTTTATGAAGTATACATTCTAATGTATTTTAATCAGAGGTCAGCTAGAAAGGTGCTAGGGGTATTTGTATTGTTGATTTATTTTAATCTGTATACAGCCTCTTTCTGGAAAGTAGAAGACAACATAGGCCTTTGCTGTATGCAGATTTTCCATTTGCATTTCGTCTGTTCATGAGCACCTGAGTACTAAATTCTGGGCATTATAAGTGAAATATGTAGAAGAAAGGCATTTAGCTAGACAACAGACCATTTCTTGAAAATGAATCCTAAAAAGAAAGTCAATGTCTATAGCTAATGATAGAAATGAAGAAGTGTGAGAATATGATACTCATTTGGTTTTGTAAAATACCTGTATTTATACAATCACTTAGGATGGGAAGGAGCTACTTCAGTTTTCATTGATCTTATGCCATGTTTTTTTGGGGATAGGCCTAAAAGTTCACCTGCAAAAAATATTAAATGTCTACTTGCTATTACAAAGAATATCCAAATGTTAAAAATTGTAATAACCCCATTCTCCCAAAATAGTTTTATTGAAAAATCAAAGTCCTTGTGGGTGTTTTTAATTTAAAGAAGACTGTTTTAAGTTAAATATAAATGTTTAGCCATTGGTTTTTATTGAAGACTTTTCTCATTTTTAATTTGTCTTGTCTGGTTTCTGTTGCTAGATTGTGAGGTTCTAGAGGGTACCTTCTGTGTTAACTTACCTTTGCAGTACCCTTACATAAGAATTCTGAGAACATGTGGCTTATTGAATTCAATTGTAACAGAATTCATAGGACTGATATTTCTTCCTTTTATGGTAGTTGATTACTTGTAAGACATGCAATAGAACAGTTAAACATCATGGTAAAAGCAGAAGCTTTCTATTGGCACTGAAGAGCAGTCCTGCCACTCCTACCAGTAAACTCAGCCTGAAGACACCAGAGAGGAAGACACCAGAGAAAAAGACTCCACAGTCTGCAAACTTAAATCATATGTCTGGTTCCAAAAGCAAGAGCCCAGCATTAATTTTCAGGTATCTTAATTCATGAACTTTTCTTAATTGCCATTGTTAAGCATTTCTTCAGTTTTTGCCATCAGATATACACTTCTAAATATTCCATACAGTTCATTCCTTGGCCCCTTTTTTCCTTTACACCCTTTTCTTCTCTAATGTCATACACTTCTGTATCTTCAGCTCTCATCAGTGCATCATAACTTCTTTGTACATTACTATTTCAGTTTCTCCCTGGATATATTCCTAGCTACCTGATAAATAACCACTTGACCCTGCCCATCTTCCTAAGTTCCTTATTGAACTAATGTGTCCTTCTAGATATTCTCACCTGAAATAACAGGAATGGTTAACAACTTCTATGTTGGTTCTTTAGCACCAGTTTCTATCTATTCTTCTTCCATGCTGTTTGCATTTGTTCTCTACTTTTCCCCCTTCTGCTGCTATCCTGCCTGGTTCACCTTTTGTCAAGACTACTACAGTGATTTCCTGATTGGGCTTCCAACTTCTGGTTTCAAGCCCCTGAAACCAGATCATCTTCCTAAAGCACAGCTCTGGTTAGCAGCCTTTAACACCTAACACTATCAAATACTCCAGCATGGCTTTCCAGCCCTCACTATTTGACACCAGCTTGTCTGCCCATTCCTTTGCCTCAATTTGTCCAATGTACCAGCAAAACTGAACTACTTTTGCATTCCTGCAAAAATCTAACTGAAGAGGGATTTGTCAGGTGATACCAAGTGAACCATATGATTGGGCACATAGTTTTATTTTAGTAGTCCTCAATACAGAATAAATATAATTCTGTAGAAACTATGAAAGAAATGTTTACTTATAAAAGAGAAATGGAGTCTGGACGTCTCAAACATAAATAACAAAATTCAGCAAGGACAAGGATTATCTCTACTCATTGAAGTGAATTTTCTGTATTAGGCTTGAAGTTTATAAGATTAAGAATTAAAATTTCAAGTTCAATTTTTGCTATATTCCTGATTAAATTATTTTGATACCTGGTATGAGAATTCAGCATAGAAGTTTTCACTTTATTGGATAAGTGTAGGTAAAAGTTTAACATATTTAAGACAATTTAGTTTCATTTAGACGAGAGTAGTCGGCCTTTAGTACTCATAGGTTCCGCATCTAGATTCAACCCATCATGGATCAGAAATATTCAGGAAAATAAAATTGCATCTGTACTGAAGACGTACAATTGTTCTTCTGGTCACAGTTACCTAATACAGTGTAACTATTACTTATATGGCATTTACAGTTTGTTATATGTACTGTAGAGATGAGCTAGAGTCTATGAGAGGGTATGCATAGGTTGTATGCATACACTGTGCCATTTTATCTAAGGGACTTGTGAATTGCTATATTTTGGTATCCATGGGGGTGGGGCATGTCCTGAAACAATCCCCTCATGGATGCTGAGGGGCATGGGAATAGGAAGATGCTGCACATTACCACACAGATAGGGAGTTCAGAGAGATTAGACCAATGAACCCCAAGTAGAACTCAATGGGAGAGAGCACAATTGAAGGGAATCATTTTTTCATTGATTATTTCCAGAGTGCTTCCTGTGTGCCTGGCACTGTTATAAAGCGCTAAAATATCCATTTAGTAGTATAGTGTCTGCCCTGTGGAGCTGATATTCTAGTGGGGAGGATACAATGGAAGAATACCTACAGGTGTAGGTTGAGATCCTTTGAAGAAATGGAAGAAATTTTGAACTGTGAAGAAGGAATGTTTTTAAAGTCCTTACATAGAAATGTCATGAATCTTGATGTCAAGCTCAAAGAGAACTCAGACCTGATAATATTTTACCTGTGGGCTTAACTTTCAGGTATGATAGAAGCCTCTAATACCTTCTAAATGTTGTCCATGGATTTTTTTTTTTTTAAATGGGAATGATTATATGGAGTACAGCCACTACCCATAGACATAAAATACAAAAGAGTGGGAAATTATCCTACTAGCAGTTATCTAAGCAGAAAGATTATTTTGGCATTTGTCAGTATGACGAAGGGTATTTTTTTTTCTTTTCAGAACACCTACATCTGGACACTCGACACCCATTTGTTCTTCAAAGAATGTGAGGAAAAGAAAGAAACACTTCTCTCAACTAAAAATGTTGCTTAGTCAAAATGAATCTCAAAAGAATCCAGAGGTGGACTTCAGAAATTTCCTGTCTTCTCTGTGAAGGGCGGGACTTTGAAAGTCAGGAATGTCTAGTGCAGTTTCTGAAACTAAAGTTTATGAGCAACTTTTTTTTTTTAACTTTTATTTATTCTTTGAATACATGGAAACTGGATCCAAGAACAAATTTCTTAGCATCCCTCAATATTTATGGGAAAAATATCTCACAGGGAAGGTAGTTGTGAGGATCAAAACATGAGTGAATGGTTCTTGTAAATAGTGAAGGTGTATTTGGACATCGAGTAATGGTACTATTTTCTCCTTTAGTTTTAAGCAGATTTCATTATGCCATTTTCTTTAAAAGGAAATTGAGATCTTAATAATAAGAGGGTCTATTCATTAAGATACCTTCCATGTCTTTAGCCTTATTACTAATTCACAAAAGGGATCAAGTGTGTGTCCTTATTTTCTCAGTCATAGTCATAACTGTATTAGTAAAAATCTGATTATTCCTATTTTGAATGCAAAAATAAGAATCTGACACATTCTCTTTTTTTGGTGTTAGGACCTCACAGATGCTAGTCATGTACTCTATCACTGACCTATACTCAGCCCAATATTCTTGATTATAAGTGATTAAATAAAACACTGAAATTTCCATTCTTAGAACTTTCTGTTGTTGCTATAGTAATATTTTTCCTGAAAGTGGCATTTTAATTTGCTTTGGTGAAGACTTATTTCTGTGTCTAAAAATTGTATCAATATAACATAGTAACAATTTTTCTTAAAACAACAGCATAATTTTTTGGTTTTTGCAGGACTGGTATTTGAACTCAAGGCTTTCCACTTGCCAAGCAGGTGCTTTACCATTTGAGCCACACCTCCAGTCCATTTTGCTTTTGTTATTTTGGAATAGGGTTCTCAGACTTTGCCATCCTCCTGATCTTAGCCTCCTCAGTAGCTAGGATTACAGATGTGAGCCACCAGAGTCCTGCTGGAGCATAATTTTAAATAAATAAATAAGCTAGGATTGTATTCAACCTGCTTTTTTTTGTTTTAAACTTTAGCAAAGGAGTCTTTGTACACTACTGGTGATACAGCCATTTTAGAAAACAGTATGGACTTTTCTTTAAAAACTAAAAGTAGGGCCGGGTGCCAGTGGCTCACGCCTATAATCCTAGCTACTTGGGAGGCAGCAATCAGGAGGACTGTGGTTCGAAGCCAGCCTGGGCAAATAGTTTGTGAGACTCTATCTTGAAAATAACATACAAAAAAAGGACTGGTGGAGTGGCTCAAGGTGTAAGCCCTGAGTTCAAGCCCAAGTACCACAAAAAAAAAAACCTAAAAGTAGAATTACCATATGATCAACAGTCTCACTTCTGGGTATATATCCAAAGGAACTGAAATCAGTATGTTGCATGGATGTTTGCACTCCCACATGTATTGTAATATTATTTACAATTAAGGTACAGAAACAACTCAAGAGCCCATCAGTGCACAAATAGATTTTTAAATGTGTGTGTGTGTGTGTGTATGTGTGTATATATATATATATATATATATATATATCAACCTTTAAAAAGCATATTACATCATTTGTGATAACAGATAAACCTGAAGAATGTATACTAATTGAAACAAGCTAGACCAAGAGACAAATTCCGTATGATGTCACTTTTATGTGGATCTAGAGTCCTTAAACACATAGAATAGAATGGTGGTTTCCAGAGGCTGGGGAAGAAATAGATGGGGAAAAGGGCAGATGTTGGTCAAAGGGTATAAAGTTTCAGTTTGACAGGAAGAATAAGTTCTGATCTATTGCACAGCAAAGTTAATACTGTGAATCTCAAAATAGCTAAAAGGGGGTTCTAAGTGTTCTCACCACAAAGAAGTGAGAAATAGTTGAGGTGATATATTAATCAGCCTGACCTGACCAACCCACAATGTACACATGTATGAAGCATATTGCATTCTGTAAGTATATACAATATTTTGTCAACTAAAAATAAAATGGATGAGCAAAAGTTCCATGTAAGGTGAACCTCAAAAGTAGTATTGAACAAAAAATAAAACTAAGTAAAAACTAAAATCATGTTTAAATAAAACATTTAAGTACTGGAATTATCTGTATCCAGGCCTCTCTGCTGCTTAAAATTTTAAAGCTTAAATTCTCATTTACTAGGGCTTGGCAAACTGAGAGGCCAAGGTTAACCAGTTGGTCTTAGAGATGTAATGAAGTAAATTATGCTAACAAATGCAAGCACCAAAAAGAATGGTGAACTGAGCCAGACTTTCCCTTTGTCCATAGCATCAACCACCATCACTATTATTTGGACTTTTGGTAACTTAGGTTCATAAAGTGCTGAAAGCTGAGGAAGAATCCTGCAGTTGGTATTCTTAGGAAGCAAGCTTCTTACTAGTCTATAGATCATTTGGCACCATTTTCAAAGCTGTGAGTAAAGTGTCCACCTAGACAGATAGCTAAGAAATGTACTTCAATTCCTGTTTCAGTTCCAGTCAGCTGGTGACTGAATGGAGCTCTGATTTTATTTATGTAAGTGAGGGACAGAAATGTGGTGAGAAGCACACGTATGACTTACACTTGCCCCTTCTATGGCAAAGGGACAATGGCATGGGTTAAGACTTAATGAATACTTGTTCTTTGGTGCATTATTTTCCAGTTTCAAAAGAACTCAAGTTTTGTTGGCTCTCGCTGATAACTTTAGATAATATGTCTGCTCAGAAAGTAAGACTTAAAATACTGAACACTTTCACAAGTTACTGCTGAAATGCTATTTTTTGTCTTTTTCGAAAATGAAAGGAAAAAAATAGCAAATAATTTGCAAACATTGCCAGAATATTTTCTAGCTGGTTTGTAATTTCCTAAGAATGAATGTGTGTGTGTGTATGTGTATATGTGTGTATATACATGTGTGTATATATATGCATATATATATGCGTGTGTATATATATATGTGTGTGTGTGTGTGTGTATGTATTTTGGGAACAAAAAGCCACAGTCTGACAAGGTTGCTGTGGCTTAGCACCATGTCTATAATGGCGGGAAGGAACGCTAAATGGTTTCCCTTGACTAAAAAGTTGATACTTAGTCAAGGACACTGGCAGTAAGAATGCAGGACGGCAAAAAACAGAAAGGTTGTAGCTAGGTCAGAGTGTTTTTGATGTTTAAGTCTCTTCCTCTTTTGTATAAAGCTGGCTGAGAAAAATGAAATTTTGCCAGTTGGTCAGCCTGCTGGCCCTCTCAATATGTGTCTTGTCTGTTTATTCCTGCCCTGAGCCCTTTCGGGTTAAGGACCTCTGCGATCCCGGCATATATAAAATTTTGTGTGTGTGTGTGTGATACTGGGGTTTGAATTCAGGGCTTCATGCTTGCTAGGCAGGTACTCTACCACTTGAGCCACTCCACCAGCCCTTTTTTGTGTTGGGTATTTTCCAGACAGGCTCTCGAACTATTTCGCCAGGTTGGCTTTGAACTGTGATTCTCCTGATCTTTGCCTCCTGAGTAGCTAGAAATATAGGCATCAGCTCCCAGCTCCCAGCTTATTCCTTGTTTTTGTCTTTTGTGGTTCCTGTTTCCATTTTTGTACAACTTACAAGACTGCAAATAATATAGCAGTATTTAAAGCTGACCTTTCTGGGGCTGGCACAGTAGCCCAAATGGTAACAGTGCCTGCCTAGCAAGCGTGAGGCCCTGAGCCTGAATTCAAACCCTAAGGCTGCAAAAAAAAAAAAACTATAAAGCTGAGCTTTCAGGAAAAAGGAAGTAAGAACTCAATGTGTACATGGTAACTTCTATGTATGAGGAGGAGGAATTTTGAAGGAAAATCCCTTGCAGAGTAAGTCAGGTGGCAATTGTTAGGGTATGTGTTTCTCTTCCTATAGGTTATTTTGTAAAAAAGGAAGTATTTTCCCCAAGATTGGGAGAAAGCAAACTACCAGTCAGTTTAGCTTTATGTTGTATGTACTTTTTACTATACTTGGTCTTAGCCAACAGACCAAGCAGCGATTGTAGGCTAGTTTTTAAAAGAATATGTAATATAAAAACAAAAAAAACTTTCATGATGGATTTTGTAAATAGATTTGTTACAGGGAAACCTGTTCTCTCTAGCTTGATCTCACCACCTTATATGGATGTAATCTGAATAAATAGTTGGTGGTTAAAAAATTATTTTTTAAGAGTTAAAAAAATGAAAGTGTGTTGTGCTTTTGTAGAGAAGAAACAAGTCTACACATCTTCAACACTATTTTAATAACAAGATTTCTTTTTTCTTTTATGGGGGGGTGGTACTGGGATTTGAATTCTGGACCTCATGCTTGCTAGATACTCCTACCATTTAACCCATGCCCTCAACCCAGATTTCTTGTTTATATGAAGTTATAAAGTGCTGTATCTGTTGAACATTATATTTCACATATGGCAATGATTTAATAACATCTTAAAATTGCCTACCTATTGTCCTGGGTTATTTGAAAAAAATATTTCACTATGTAACTCTTTAAAGCTAATTTACACAATATGAGGCTTTTCAGAAACTCATAATCAAAATACTTTTCCTATATTAAAAAACATTAACATCAGTTTAAGTACTATTTCTAAGTTGTATGTTTTAAAAGATACACTAGTCCTTAAGATTTTTTTTTTTTAAATCTCAAAACTGCATGCAAACACTGCTAGTAAAGAGAAAATCATGTTTTAATCATTAAGTTCAATCACTAGCAGTTAGCTTCCTCCTGGTTCCCAACAGGGAAATTACACCTTCCCTGAAAAAAAGACAGTGTTTTAATACTAATGTAAAACTTTACTGCAACTATAATTGGCCTGTATCATCAATGGATATAAAAGAAGGCTAAAAGAGAAAGGAGCTAAAAAGATGCTGCAGTTTTTCTTCCTCAAACTAGTCAAGAACTGAAGAGACTAGCAACTCAAAATAGGGTGAATGCTATCAGCTAGGTAAGAATACAAGGCATGAAGCTCACCTGGTCCGGCAATACTCAAACACCAGCTCCAAACAGAGAAACATTTTAATTTCCTTGGTTAAACACACTCCAGCTGCACTATAGAAGCTCTAATCACAAAACCACAACCAAGACATCACTTCCCACTTATAGCAGTATAAGAGAATTATACAAAGGTATCTTAAAATAAGGCCAGGCATAGTGGTACATGCCTATAACCTCAACGACACAGGAGATAGAGATGGGAGGATGGAGAAATGGAGGCCAACCTGGGTGAAAGTGTGAGGCTTTATCTGAGAATACAGCATAAAAAGTTGGGGGTGTGGCTCAAGTAGTAGAACAGTTGCCTAGTATACCACACACACAAACACAAAGGGCAGCATTTGTGAGCAATCTGCTAATAACTTGGTCTCATAAGATTTGCTGGGGGAGTGGCTCAAATGCTAGAGTGCCTGCCTAGCAAACGTGAGGCCCCGAGTTCAAGCTTCAGTACTGCCAAAAAAAAAAATTACATATTTATAAAGTATTTATAAAGATTATATATAAAGATTTTATAACTTAAATATCAAGGCCTGGAAGAAGAAGTCAATTGACAAATACTAACTGATGAATACTAATATTTTGAAAAAGCCATGTATTAAGGTATGATTCTTAAATAACTCACTCTACTTGTATTTCCAAAAATGACTTTAAAAAGATAAAGCAAACCAAACAGTATCTATACTATTGAATATTTGTAGATATATATGAATAAGCTAATGGTTCTGAATCACAGAATCATTTAAATTGATTCAAAATTTCAATTTGGTACCTTTCCATAAAACAATTCAAATATATATAATTCTAAACTTCATTGCACATTCCACTTTAGTTAGTAATCTGGATCATGGTTGGATGCGTAGAACAAAGGAGTCATCATATTACCTAAAGCATTTGTTAAAAAGGCACATGTCTCCAACCTTGACTTTTCTGATTCCATAGTCTGAGGCCCAAGATTTGCACTTCTAACGAGCTCCCAGCTGAGGCTAATATTTCTGGCCTAACAAATACTGGCTTAGATAAATAACACTAGTTTAAAATTAAAAGTAAGCTTTAGTCAGTTACCAAAACTGTCATGATTCCACTAGATTTTAAACTTTTTGAAAGCAGACATGCAGTTGAGAAATCTGTGCCTCAAAAGACAACACAATACCTTAAACACAGTAAGAATTCATTAAATGTTGTCTGAAATGTTCCCATTAATACTTGATTCTAACTCTGATTTGTGAATAAAAATAACTGCTTTAGAAAAAACAATTGGAAAAGAATACCCATTTTCATCACTGTATTATTCATAAAAGCCAGAAGGTGGAAGCAACCCAAGTGTCCATTGATGAACAAACAAAATGAGACATATACATAGAATACTCAAGACATTAACAATGAAGTTCTAGCCGGGTGCCAGTGGCTCACACCTGTAATCCTAGGAGGCAGAGATCAGGAGGATCTCAGAGGCCAGCGCAGACAAATAGTTCAAGACCCTATCTCAAAAGTACTAAAAAAAAAAAGGGCTGGCAGAGTGGCTCAAGTGGTAGAGTGCCTACTTAGCAAGCAAGAGGCCCTGAGTTTAAACCCCAGTACCGCCCAAAAAAAAAAAAAAAAAAAAATGAAGTTCTAGGCCAGGTGTGGTGGTGCATGCCTGTTATCCTACTAATGGGAGGCCACAGGAAGGAAGATCTCAGAGGCCAGACCTGGGCAAAAATGCAAGACCCTACCTGAAAAATAACTAAAGGAAAAAAGGGCTGGGGGCAGAGAATATAGCTTAAGTGGTAGAGCACCTGCCTAACAGGCCTGAGGCTCTGAAGTCAAGTCCCAGTACCACCAAAAAGAAGTTCTGACCCATGCTACAACCTGGAAGAACTTTCAGGTTATGTTGCATGTTATGAAGTAGAATAAGTAACAAAAGGATAAATCGTTCATAATTCCTTATAATTCCACTTATATGTGCTTCCTAAAGAAGTCAAATTCAAATAGGCAGAAAGTGGTTGTTGGCAACGGATAGGGGTATAGGGATTTACTATATAATGTGCAGAGTTTCATTTGGGAAGATGAAAAAAGTTCCTAGAGGTAGATGGTGGTGATGGTTGCACAACAACTTCAGTGTAGTTAATACAGAATACACTTTAAAATGGTTTCAGTTTGCCAGGCATCAGTGGCATACATCTGTACTCCCTTGAGCCCACAAGTTTGAGACCAGCATGGAAACCATAGTAAGTTCCCATCTCAAACACACACACACACACACACACAAAACCAAAAAAAACCTAAATTACTTTTACAAACCATTATGTACATTTTAACTTCAAATACAAAAAACAATTGATGTAACATCCTTCTACAAGTCTCCTACCTTTCAGTGGTGCTTTTAGCTATGCTGCTTTTTTGGTTTTTGGATGCTTTGCTTTTGCTGTTTTTGTTTATTTTGTTTTGAGACAAGGTCCCACTATGTAGCCCAGAATGGCTTGGAACTCATGTAGCTCAGGGTGGCCTTGAATTTATGATCCTCCTTCCACAGCCTCCTGAGGACTGGAATTACAGAATGAGCCACAATGCCCAGGTCAGCTATGTTGCTTTTTTTTCTTTTGTCACTGCTATGTTGCTTTTTTGAGTATATGCATATCAATTTCACTATAACCTGACATGTTGCACAAAATGAGGAGTTCTCACTACTACACAAGCATCAATCTAAAAAGGAGCATCACACAGTGGTTAAGGAACACAGGCCTGGAGCCATACTTGGAGCTTGGTTTGGATCTCAGTTAACCTTTTGACTGGTTCAGGATCATATAGAATAAGTTATCTTAGTTTGTAAAATTGGAATAGGGTTTCACTTCGTACTTGCAAAGCAGGTGCTCTACCTGGAGCTGTATCTTGAAGTCTATTTCGCTCTGGTTATTTTTTGGAGATGGGGGGGTCTTTTGAACTATTTGCCCAAGGTGGCCTTGAATCACAATCCTCCTGATTTCAGCTCCCAAGTAGCTATGACTACAGGCATGAGCCACTGGCACTCGGCATAAGCTGTCATTATTATGTTATAGACTATGCTCCGTAGGGCATTGTTTCTCAAAGTGCAGTGCACTGATTATCAGAATCACCTGGGTGTCTTGTTTAAAATGCAGATTTCTAAATATATCCTAGCTTTCAGAATCTCTGAATATAATAAGTTCCACTGTGTAAATCACATGAATCTAGATAAAGTGACCAGATACCTTCTAGGAACAGAGAACCAGAGGCCCACTGGCTACAGGATTATATCTCCCAAGCTTTCTAGATTATAAGAATCAGACAGTTTTGACCTTGTAAGTATGTGTCCTTTTCATAAAGCCTCAGCTGAGATGTTTTGTTGTTGTTTTCCAGGTGCTGGGGACTGAACCCAGGGCCTTGTGCATTCTAGGCAAGCAGTTCTACCACTGGGTTACATCAGCAGCCTCACCTGTCTTACCAAAGAAGTGTGGCCAACACTGTCCTGATATTCGCAAGATTTCTATGATTCCCTATTTTACTTTAACATTTACGGCACATGCCTAGTGTGTGTGAGGCCCTGAGTTTGATCCCCAGTACCACAAAAATAAATAAATTCAAAATATGGTAAGGGGACCTGTATTCTAGCTAGTTCAGGGTACCAAGAGAATCATCCACTTAAAAGCATTTAAGGAGTACTATGGTCACAAAAGATCTTATTCCCTGCCAATAAGGAACACACTGTATAATGAACTGTAAAATGAATACTTTATTACCTAACATTGCTTAAATGTTTTAAATCTTGAAACAAGTCATGGACTTCAGCATTGATTTACAGCAGTGGTTGTTAATATGGGGTCCCTAAACCCAGCAGCATTAGCATCAAGTTGTTAGAAAAGTAAACCATCAGGCCTTACCCCAGACTTTATTCAATCAGAAGCTCTGCGGGTGGAGTTCAGCCACCTGTGGTTTAATAACCACTCCAGGTGATTCTGAAGCTTGCTCAGGACCAGATACTGTGTTCATTGGCCATGCACAGTAACCTCCAGCAGTTTCTCTACCATTACTTCACCAAATACTTCCAGTACTTTCCTTACCTCCCGGTCCCTTAATCCCTTGCCTTCCAGACCCATATCCAATGAATCAGATTCACAAAAACAACCTACACAAAGAACCTTCAAAAAGAACATAAAACTTTATTAAGAACATCTTATACTGTCATCAGATACAGCCAAAGAAAAACGGGTAAACAAACTGGGAGAGTTCATCTTCCCATGTGCTATTGCCACCTCAGAACAGACTCCTGTGGATGGCTGGAATTACACAGTTGGCAACAAATGCTCTGTATAAATAAATTCATTAACACAATGTTCCCTTTCTATACAGAGAAGAACTGGATTTACACTTTTAAAAGCTCTGATATAGTGCAACAACTATGAAACAAGACTACATCTTTAGGAGCTATTTCTTAATAGAATACAAAGCAGTTTAGAAGCTTTATGTCATTTCATATAATGTAAATTTTTAGAGTGGGAAATTCAGAAAGGACCTTCAACTTTCCCAATTAGTTCATCTGTACTTTTGAATTTTTTTTTCTCTAAACAGTTCTCAGAACCAGTTCAATAACTCTACTGTAAAAGATAAGTTGCTCATCTACAGTGACAATTGACAACCTAGATGTGTTCTTTTAATTTTGCAAATCAAGACGACTGGATCATCCCAGCCTTTGCTGATTCTAAAGGATTTCTTATAGAAAAACCCTGATTCAGAGTGCATGTGAAAGAAGTACCAAAACAAGTGCATATGGAATGGTTTTCTCAGGAGGAAGTTGGCTATAGAGTACAACTGTTTTTCTCAGACTCCAGTCACTCTTATGGTTCTTTCATTTACTGTATGTAATGAAGGAAGGAACAGAGGGAGTGCCAAGAAATGTGTTCAAATTGCCACTGCAGACAGCTCTCTATACTGTCTGTGGAGAAGAGTGATGGTACCCATTCAAAGCACAGCACCTACTGCAAGGATGCTGACAGGCTTTCCTCTTGAGGGGCCGGGCCAAACTGCACTCAGATGCATGATCTGCCTCAGGTACACAGTGGAGAAAATGCTCATGATTTAGAATTTGGTATTACAGTACCCCCACCTAACCCCATTTCTTGAGAACACCTAGTCCTTTTAGGAAGGACGACTATTCTCTGCTAAGGCTTACCATGTTAACAACTATAAGGCTGAAAACATGACTTCTAAAACAGGATAGTTTGTGTTCAGTTAGTGAGCTAACTAACAACTGAGGTTTGCGGAGGATTGGTCAAGGGGTGGGAGTCAGGTTCTTGAGTACTATCACTTATCACAAATCTCATCAAGCTCTTTAAAAAAATAATGCATTTTTATCATAAATATTTAGAGCAGATACTGGCATTAAAATCAGTATCTAAGTCAGAAGTCTGTCTTAAATGGTGAAAATATCTCAACAAACTTCTAAAAGATTTTAAATCTTGCAATTATAGTTTATAAATTAGTTTTAAATGGAAAAAATATATATTTTGAATGGATAAACCACCACTTTAGCAGATCATAAATAAGGTCAAGATATTGAAAATAAGTTAACATACAAGTTTTTGCTTTCACATTAACAACAAAAACTAACTTACTTGGTATACTTTCATAACAGTTATAACCAGGTTTTATAATTGTGCATTTGTTACCTCCCTCCTTTGCTGAGTCTTTTCTTCTGTTTCCTATACCTAGGGACAGAGGTACACAGCACAGGCAGACACCCCAATGTGTGAGTCCAGCTACCACACACAGTTTCCTAAGAGTGATGTTACAAATGCTGGTCAGGATCTACAATTAGTAACTTATCAACCATATTACAAGTTAAGTACATTCATGGTTAAGTGGATTAGGTTCCCAGGTAACCTTTCAGTGCTAGTTGTGTGCAGAGAACCTATTATTCCTGTGAGAAAATGTGTCCTAACTCCCAAAAGTTGTCTAAAACACTTTGGAATACTAGACATACATATTTGGATGGGATGACTACTTATATGAATCTCTGTTTTGGAGAGGTCAAATTGTTAAAAGCACTGTTTCCAGAACTATTGGCTATTAAAATAAATATTTGCCTTCTCCTACACTTGTAAATTCATTTTATCTATAGTCTCTAATACTGAAAAAGAAACAGAGTAAAGCCATTCATAGAAGTAAGACATAATTGGCTTGTGGGATTTAAAAGGTGTTATAGTACCTATCTAATTTGAATCTGCTTGCAATGAGAAATGTCTAATATATAAAGCAATGAATGAGAAAAATGTTTATCCTAAGTCATTACTGAATACAAATCCACAGCTTAACAATGTAACTTAAAAAGAAAGCTGGGGAACATGCAACTGCTCTAACACACAGGGTTAGAGATAAAAGGTAAAAGTACATTTGTTTTGTATTTACATTTGTAAACATACAAATATAAAATTTACCAGATCTACCCTGTAGTGTAGCACTGCTATATTTCCAAATATAGTCTTTCAAAAACCTTAAGGAAACATTAAAAATGTTTGAGGCTACTTTACTGTATGTTAATGAATATTGTGTTCTTGAGTCATTAGAACTAAAAATATTGTAATTTTAAGTTATGTGGAATAATAAAAGTATCATTATTTTATGTTTCCTTTAATCCCATAAATGACTTTTTATTGAATGGATCAATTGTTAAAAGGAGACTGATTTGACAAATACAAATCAGTTCTAGAACTGAAGTTGTTCTCTTGGTAGAGAGTCAAAATTTGTAACATTCTCAAAGCATTTTCTTATTAATCTCCTCAATTCTAAACAATACAATCAAGGGATTCCTTATTTAATAATCTTTTTAGTCTACCTTGGCAGGTGGAATGGAATTCCTACAGTGCTACAGGGAAAAGATCTCTAGGCTTTGATCTGGCTCTCCAAGGGGCATCCATATATAGTGTTAAATTATAGACCTCTAGGGAATAAGGAACCTGGAGAGGCACAGAACCAGTATCTGGGTTGGGGAGAAGGGTGAAGATTAAGTTGGAACACTTAGTCCCTTCTATAGTCAAGTCCTCACCATACCATAATAAAGTCTCAACTAGCTCCTGATTAGTTCTTCCCCTTAGGAATTACATAGTATACAGTGATTAGATACTGAAAAAAAATAAAGAAAAACAATTCAAAAGAGACATGGAATTTCTCACAAGAGGCCCTGGATCAAAAAAATTTACAAAAAGATCTTCTGAAAATAATCACTATTTATGACTTATTAATATTAAGAGATCATCACCTTGTTTAAACTAAGTCATGTTAACTTACCAATAAAATAGTAAACAAACCAACATTTTAAACAATTTTATAAATTACTTATTTCTTTTGTTAGTACCATTCCCAACAATATACAAAAATAACACTACAGGACTATCCACCTAACCTGTCTTCATCTCTTGCAAAGTCCTGGGCTCTGGAAAAAGACTGGTCATCAATCTTCACTGTAGATGTCTCCCGCAAAGGGCAGATGCATGTGGCTGCCAGTAACATTGGGCAATCGAGATAAATCTGGCAGGCTCTGGATCCGGGACCTGAGTTCTTTGCGCACCAGAGAAACTCTGGCTAACTTGCGCTTGTATTCCTGTAACATCAAACCACTTTTATTAGCATTTGAGAATTCAAACAGCTATTTAACTAATGCTCTGGCAGTATTCTCAGTTAATGCCAAATAAAAGATTATTTCAACATGAGTTTTAGTACCAAAAGAGGGCCTAGAGATGATAAGAGTGGATGCATCTTATATGCATGAATGAAAGTGTCATAATGAAATCCATTACTTGTACAATTAATATACACTACTAAAAAAGGCCTTTGAAAATATAAGGTAAACTTATGAAAAACCACAATCTTTACTTGTTTCACACCTATAGAAAGGTGACTAATATATTAACATACTTAATCTCAGAATATAAAGTTTTCAGGACATCAAATATAAGGTTTAGGGACAAGAAAAATTACATGTTTATTTTCATAAACCTAAACTGAAATTTAGTATTGTTTTCAATTATGAATGTTGGCAACAAAGATTTTGTCTCCAATAGAAATCAATTCCTTCATATTACATTACAGTTCATGGCTATCTCAAATTACTATTTACATTTACCACTGCTTTAAAATTATGTTAGGTACTAGACCAACCATAAATTGAAGTGCTAGTCAATTTATTAATAAAGCACATATTATTGTACAAATTTTAAATTTTTGACAGCTGTGCTTCAATATAACTTGCTTCCATTATAATGCTCTGCATTTCATTTTGTGCAATGAAAAACATTAACTTCAGAAGGGATCCACAGCTCACCAGACCGGGCACCAAAAGCAAACCTGCAGGAACAGGCCCAAGAAATCAGAGACTGAGAGCCATGATCATCATTGACTTGCAGGGTACAGCCCATTCTCTACAGTGGGAGTCTTTTTCTAATGGAAGGTTCTAGACCCTGGATTAAATCCTCTACAAGGAAAAGAAGAGAAAACCTCTGTACTCCTTCAGCTAAAGGAGATGAAGCCTTAAGAGGGAATCTAGAAAAGACAGAGCAGGTTAAGTGGCAATCTTACATTTTGTGCAGACCGCCTGTCCATAAACAGCCTTTCCTCATTAGTATACCTCAACTCTGACTGAACATCAGAATCACCTAAAAAATTTTTGGAGAGAACTACCTCTGATTTTCAAGAACTACAGACCCTAATGCCTAACAATTAGAATATCTGGAAGATGGTCCAGCACATGTGAAGGCTCCCCAAATAATACTAACACATAGTAAGAATTGTGAACCCTTTCCTAGTTTTAATCCTAAAATGAAATCAACTAGTGAGTTTTCTTTGTAGTTTTTGGGGGCAGGAGCATACTGGGGTCTAACTCAGGGCCTTGTATTTGCTAGACACACATTCCATCACTTGAACCCAGCCCTTTTTGCTTTAGTTATTTTTCAGATAGGGTTTCATGCTTTTTGCCTGGGGCTGTTCTCAGACTTCCATACTTACGCCTCCATCTTCCACACAGCTAGAACCGCAGGCATACACCTGCTTGTTTTTGAGATAGAGTCTAACATTTACCAGGGATGGCCTTGAACTGCAACCACTGTATCTCCACTTTTCATATGCACCACCAGGCCACTCTTCGTATTTCTAGGCCTCCTTTTTTAAAGTACAATTACACCTGGCAGGGAAAGGGATTTGTCAGAATTTGCACAACCCAATTGCCTAAGGTAATGAAGGAAGGGAATATTTCAAAGCATGGGGAACAGGGCACAATTGCAGACAAAGTAGGATAGATTGAAAGCTGGAAAGTACAAGCCATGAGAACATAACACAGGTATCAACTCTTGTCATGGCCACATATCCCTATGTTTCTAATCTATCTTCAAGGTCAAGGAGCAGTAAGACAATAATCTATAATCTCAAGGGATCAGCTTTTTATTTTCTTCTTGCTTTTTTACTTTCACCAACACTGGAACAACAAGTAGGTTTCAGCATGTGGCATATAAAAGATAGCACCAGGGAATTTCACATCCTAGATGCATGCTTCTCAACACTCTCTCTTGTTGCACATCTCTGCATTGACACTCATTTCTTGCTCATAGCTAGCAGAGTGGCAACTCCATCTCTACCCATATCACACCAGTGAGTACCACTGTTCTTAGCTAAATCATATCATCTGAAGTCAGCAGCTCACACCTGTAACCTTAGCTACTTGGGAGGCAGACTGCAGTTCAAGGCCAGCCTAGAAAAATAGTTCTCAAGACCCCCATCTCCAAAATAACCAGTGCAAAATGGACTAAAGATGTAGCTCAGGCAGTAGAGTACCTGCTTTGCAAGTATGAAGCCCTGAGTTGAAATCCCATTCCCACCAAAAACACCTAGGGATTAGCATAATACACTGAGATACTGTTCAAACATGCTCAAAGTAAATTTACTCTCTGCTCATCTTGGGATGATGTTTTGAAAGATGTATGTGTTCTTAGTGGTTATTACTGCCTGCCTACTTTCTAATCCAGACAGGCTATTCAATTATTAATATTTATCTTTAAAAGCCAAGCATGATGGTGTGCTCCTATAGTCCCAGCTACTTGGGAGGCTGAGGCAGAGGATCCCTTGAGCCTAGAGGCTTGAGGCCAGCCTGGGCAACACCAGGAGATACTGTGTCAATGAGGGGCTCGGGGAAACAGAGGTTATCTTTGAGTCAAATGATATGGGTCATTAAAACCCTCCAGCCAAGTGGCACATACTGAAAAAATAATAAACAAAAGCTGCCATTTTTTCAATGTTCATTATGTAATTGTCATTAAAACATGAACTCAAACTGGGTGCCAGTGGCTCACACCTATAATCCAAGCTACTCAAGAAGCAGAGATCAGGAGGATCAAGGTTCCAAGTTGACCCAGGCAAAAAGTTCGTGAGACCCTATCTCAAAAAAAACCCATTACAAAAAAGGGCTGATGGAATGGTTCAAGGTGTAGGCCCTCAGTTCAAACCTCAGTACCACAAGAAAAAAAAAACCCATAAACTCATTTAATCCTGACAATAATCCTAAGAGGAAGTATTCTTTATAAATGTATGAAATAACAAAATATTAACAAAAATGGAGTCAAATGGTTGCTGCTACTGTTACATTCTACTAAGAAAAGATTTAAACAGCTGGGGTCACTAGGAGCAGATGGCTCACACTGTAATCCTAGTTACACAGGAGGCTGAGACGGGGAGGATCACGGTTCAACGCCAGCCCAGGCAAATACTTTTCAAGACACCATCTCCAAAACAACCAGAGCAAAATGGGTTAGAGGTGTGACTCAAATGGTACAGCACCTTCTTTGCAAGCACAAAACACTGATTTCAAACTCCAGTCCCACCAAAAAGATAAAATAAAATAAACTACTAGGGTCAACTGACGCTAGCCTGAAAAAGAAACTGGATGATACCTCTTAAGTGTATAACTGTTATTCAGGCCACAGTCCTGGAAGTTTTAAATGACCTCACTGGTGGTCTAGAGAAAGGCTCCAAGATTCCATGGCCTGGCTTCTTACAGCAACATTCTTACAATTGCGTGTATATATTACTTTGGTTCTGATATTCATTAAGACTTCTCTCTTGGATTGGCCCTAACAGTATCACACATGTACTCCTCTTTCAAAGCAGTTTTAGAAAACGTGACTGCCTATTTACTGTCCTGTCTGCCCTACCTGTGTTGTGATGGCAGGTGCATGTTTACTAAGCACTGAACAAATGAGATCTCCTGTCTCCACAAAATATTTTAGGGGGAGGGGAGACCAAAACATAAATGGTATTTCACTACAAATACAATTGAAGAAAAATGGCAATACAATGGATTCACATGGGAGGGGCCAAGGCTTCTTTACAAGTAAACCAAAAAGAGAGGATCAAGGGCCCCTCCCCCCAAAAAACATGCTTCAGAACCCCTGATCTAGAAGAAACTGACTTCTATCGTGTCAGCATGAGGAGCTCCACTCCCCAGTGAAATGTGAACACTTTTTAAATCCACAATATAAAGCCCTTAGCAATGGTAATGAGCAAATGAAGAAACACCTATTCAAGAAAACTTACGCAGTTCAGTAACAGTGGCAAGACTGGTACTGGAACCAACACTGCTTCTTCCTTCTCCCCTAACAGTTCAGACAAGCACATGGATCACCCTCCCCACTTCTCACTGCTCCCAATAGAGGGTGTTAGTCCCAGAAGGAGCATCAACAGCAGTGTTTCTCCTGCTGCTCCTGCTGCCTTGGCTACAGTGAAGCTGTAGGCTAAGTTAGCTGAGAACCTGGAGGAGCCCTCCTTGTTTCCAGCCCCCAGTTGTAGAACAGAGGTTCTGCCTGGGATGTGGAACACTGAAAAAACTGGGGTAGTGCTCCTGTGAACCCCTTCATGGTCTTTTTGACATTTTTCATCCTGTCCTCTGGTCCTCTTATAAAGTGTTAACTTTATAAGAGTATACAAGTGTTTTAGCCATTGCCTTCAATGTAACTATTAAGACATTCTGATTCTCATTTTTTAAATTCACATTTTTTTTTAAATCTCATTTTGTTTGCCCTGGAATTGGGATTCTTTTGCCAAGTTACAGGAAAAGTTAGTTGAAGTATTGATCAGGACACACACACACACACACACACACAAACACACACACACATATTTTCTTAAACAAGGCCAAGACATTCCATGACAGGAGGGAGTTTATGAGACTGCAGATGGTCAATCCCGTTACCACCCTAAGGAACAGAGTGAAATGCATTATCCCTGTGGTTTGCCCTCATTTACCTTCAAGAAAACAGATGCTCAAACAGCTTGGTATCTAATCCTGAAATTGATAATTTTTTTAAGCATAAAATACAACGGATCAAATCCTTTTCATGTGTTATCTTAAATTCTTGGATAAAGTTGTCATTTTTTCCCCTTAACTACAGGGAAATATTACCTCTTAGGGGTAATTACTTTGATGTAAGTGAATGAATGTCATCTAACAAAGGGTGCTACTTCCTTAAGTCTGTGCTAGGGCTTACTCTCAATTCTCTTAACAAACCTACTACTACAACTTCTGTTAGCCTTCTGGATTAATAACACACTGAAAAACAC